GGTTGCACAAGGGTGAAGCGAATTGTGGGGCAGGGCAGGGGACCCTCAGGGCGGCTTCTCCCCACGAGCTTCGGAACGCAGCCCATGAATCGCCCTCTGCCCCTCCGTCTCTCACAAGTACAACACAAACCTGTCTGGACGGCCCCTGGTCTGCCTCTAAATTCCCTTCCCTAAATTCATTTATCGCCTTACTTACTATTATCTATATTGCACCATCAAGTACAGGACTCTTTACACAGAAGGAGTAGGATAAGGTCCCTGCCCCAGGGGGCTTACACTCTACAATAAACACGGGAAAATAACAAGAGATGACTAAGCAGGCGGAGAACTGGAAATCCTTTCAACAATACCTGCTTTGACTGGATTGTGCTAAGCAGCCTTCCCAAATCTGATGTCCTTCAGATGTTTTGGACTTCAACTCCCATCAGGCCCAGAAAGCATGGCCCATGACCAGGAATGCTGAAGTGCAAAATATCCAGACTGGACAAGGCTGCAATAAAGAGAAAATACCCAAAGGCTTTCGGAAGAAGCTGCATTTTGTAGAGGGATTTCAAGGCAAGTTGGGGGTCACGTGGTGCATTCTGGGTGATGGCCGAACCCATAAAGGGCACCAAAGGGGGAAAAGGTCCTTTCAGAGAACAGGAGATCTTGGGATGGCCGAGAGTGGTGGAGCTGAGAGCAAAGTTCATGAAGGAAAGCATCAGGGTATAAGACCAGGAACATAAGCGGGGGCAAGCCCATGGAAAGTTCTGATCATGAGGACTAGAAGCTTGTGCAAGATCCAGGGAAGGACAGGATGTCAGGGAAGGCATTTTAAGTGGTGTCAGAGCAATAAGTCAGGTTAATCATCTGGGCAGCAAAGTCTAGATGGACACAAAGGGGTGAGAGAAAATGACCCCAAGAGGTTCCCTGGAACAAAAGTGGGAGCTGGGCAAAAACTTGACCATAGCGTTGGACTGGGCCCAGAAGAGGGTTCTTAGACCCGGCCCTTTATTTCTTATTCTTCCCTCCTCCAAGGAACCCAAGGCAGTTAACTAATTTTCCATTTTATCTTCACAACAGCCCTGTGATGTAGGCTAGGCTGAGGGTCAGGGACTGGCCCAAAGTCATCCAGAGCCCCAGCCCCACATGCCAACTGCAGGGCCCACAGATGCACACCTCCCTTTCTTTTATTTCACTGGTACATTCACAGGGATGTGGAGAGCCGTGTTTGCATCTTGACTTCGAAGCAAATTCCACGAAGTTCAGTTCAAGCAACGGCTGGGGTCTCACCCACTCCTGCGCTCACATGAAAGACCCCACCTGCCATCCCCTCCTGCTGGACAAGCCATTTGGAAAAGAAATCCCAAGAGCTCCCAATCCATATTTAACTCTTTTGAAACTTCCACTCTTCTTGGGACAATCATAATTGCCACATCTGATCTTCAAAGGCTTCTGCAGGCTTTGAAGCAGGCAGCAGTGCCTGTCCCATCTCTTTTCTCTTACAAAAAGTTAATAGCTTTGAACCTGAAGGCCAGAAGCAAGAGGGGGTTAAAATAAAAAGAGGTGGGGGAGAAAGAGAGCACCTCCGAGGTTCCCAGGTAATAGCTAAGTCTCTTTTCAAATGCATCCCTTTTGGTCCCTCCTCCCCTCCAGAAAATTATTCAAAAGCTTAGCAAGCAGGCAGTCCTTCCCAGATGGGTGGGGGCCAATGTGGTACGGCCCTGTCCAGTCTATTGGTTGCCCCCAGCGGTCCCAGGGAGAAAGGAACAAGGTGGCTGGAACTGCCAACCCTTCTCTTCCCGGGCTGGAGGAACAGCATTCACATCAGTGCCCCTAAACTGGTTTGCAAAGTTTCCAGGCCTGCGTTTTGATGACACTTGACTAGTGACCCTGAGCATGTGCAGAGTGTCTCTGCCCTCTCCTGCACCCCCACAGCCTTCCTCATCGCTAACTGATCAGGTGGAACTGGTGGAGCCGTCTGGGAGACCCCTGTCCCAAAACTTAGACACGGAATGATATACACAGCCAAGAAAGGACCCGATGCCCATGAGAGCGGGGAGAAAGCTCGAGAGACAGTTTTAAAAATCAGCCATCGGAGGGAGCTCAAATGAGCAGCTAAAAAAAAAGATGTCTTTCTGGCAAGGACTACACCCAACATTCCCGCACCCAAAAGCAAAAGTTGGAGATGCACCAAATGTGAGCAGGAAAAGCCGTCCAGCCACACCACACTTCAACTCAAGTCCTTGGATTTAAGCCCAAGGCACCCCGACCCACCCCTTTCCGGGGGAAAGCAGCAGCTGGAGCCTTTAAAAGGTGCCCGGGGTGTGCAGCTCAACGCCCAGCGCTCCCTGGGGTGGGGATCGGCCGGCACCCCGGTGGCAACGGCAATGCACTTTCCACACATGCGCGATTTTCCGCGCTTTCCCATGGCTCAGCTGGGAACAGGCTCTGCGCTGGCTGGAGCTGAGCCCAGTGCCAAAGAATTTAATCAGCAGCGCACTGCTGGGGTCAAGCTTAAGTTAGGTCAGCGTCTCCGGCTTGTAAGGGCTGCCTGGATCTCTCCAGCAGATGGGGGAGAGGCTGCAGGCGAAGAGCACATTCCCAGCCCTGCGGAAGGCTGATCGCAAACACAGGCGTGGGGGAAAGACCCCTGTGTGTGCGGAGGGAGGGGGGAGTCGCTTCACCTCCGCCTAACCTACCTCGCAGGGCAGTTGTTGTGAGGATGAGATAGACTGGAAGACTATGTAAACTGCCGTGGGTTCCTCTTGGAAAAACGGCAAGGCAGAGATGCATTGTGAGAATAATAAATCCAGCTCTGTCCTACTTA